TTCAGAAATATAAAACCCCCCCTAAAATATATTCCTGGGTGCGCCCATGGTGTCTACATACATTAATAGTATGTCAAAGTGGCAGTGTCTTAAAATACGGTTGCATTATTTTTTTGTTTCAAAATAATGAGATTAGTTGCTTTGCAGAATTCCCTTAATCGCGTCTAACGCCACCGCATCAGACTTTCGGCGCGCATAAATCAAATGTGAAAGCAACCAGAGAGAGGGAGCGTTTAAAAAAATGTTTTATATCTTTCCCTTTATCCCTCCCAAATTTTTATTGTTGTATTCTTGCCCTTTGCCTTCCAGAATCCCGGTTATGCTGGCCGTAAAGAGNAAACGGCCATGCGTACATAAATGTATCTTAAAGCTTTATATTCTTATCTTGTTTTTATTTGCATTTCAGTTAAAATAAATAAAATTCACAATTTTATATTTATCCACTTTAACCAGTCTGAATTAAGTTAGGTTAATACGCACATTATTTAGTATGTATCATGATTGATTAAATGTGGGTATGATTAGCTGTCTTATATATCATTTTGAATATTCGATCTTCATCACATTTGGAGGAAGTGAGTCAACTCATACACTCAGTGTCTACATACATTAATAGTATGTCAAAGTGGCAGTGTTGTAATATTTTTTTTTGTTTCAAAATAATGAGATTAGTTGCTTTTCAGAATTCCCTTAATCGCGTCTAACGCATAAATCAAATGTGAAAGCAACCAGAGAGAGGGAGCGTTTAAAAATATGTTTCATATCCTTCCCTTCATCCCTCCAAATTTTTATTGTTGCATTCTTGCCGTTTGCCTTTCAGAATCCCGGTTATGCTGGCCGTAAAGAACTGCCTGAAAATTTAAAAATACAATTTCGCACTGTTGCTATGATGGTGCCAGACAGACAAATAATTATACGCGTCAAATTGGCGTCCTGTGGCTTTTTGGAAAATATCACTTTGGCGCGCAAATTCTATACACTTTACAAATTGTGCGAGGAGCAGCTGACCAAGCAAGTGCACTATGACTTCGGCTTGCGTAATATACTATCGGTGCTCCGTACGCTAGGCGCCGCTAAGCGAAGGAACTCAAAGGATGGCGAGAGTACGATTGTGATGCGGGTCCTGCGCGATATGAACCTCTCGAAGCTGATCGACGAAGACGAACCACTATTCATGTCGCTGGTGTCGGATTTGTTTCCCAATCAGGTGAGCAACTAACAAGTTAATCCCTAATACGTTCTAGATATATTTTTTCAAATTGCATTGGTAAGACGCTCGAAAAGACCAATTATCCAGAGCTGGAGGCAGCAATTGCACAGCAAACTGAAGAGGCGAATTTGGTTTACCATCCTCCATGGGTTCTTAAGCTAATACAACTCTACGAGACTCAAACTGTCCGACATGGCATCATGACTTTGGGTCCGAGTGGCGCCGGTAAGACCACTTGCATCCACACTCTAATGAAGGCGCTCACCCAAATGGGCGATAATCATCGGGAGATGCGCATGAATCCGAAGGCTATAACGGCTGCACAAATGTTTGGACGCTTGGACGTGGCTACCAACGATTGGACTGACGGCATATTCTCGGCGCTATGGCGGAAGACCCTGAAGCTGAAAAGTGGCGAGCACGTTTGGCTCGTACTGGACGGTCCGGTCGACAGCATTTGGATTGAGAATCTGAATTCAGTGCTTGATGATAACAAAACATTGACCTTGGCGAATGGAGATCGTCTGACAATGGCGCCAACCGTGAAAATCATATTCGAGCCTCACAACATAGACAACGCTTCGCCAGCAACGGTGTCACGCAACGGTATGGTCTATATGAGTTCCTCTGGATTGGATTCGAGACCGAGTAAGTCATTAAGGAAAATTATATTAAAATTATGTCTCTTTTATTAATGTGCGCTTTGAGTAGTTGTACAGGCTTGGCTGAAAAACCGTGCCCCCGGTGAGAAGTCCGTGTTCTGGAATCTCTTTGAGCAGACATTCGTGCAGGTCTACAATTGGGGCACGCAAAACCTCAAGTTGCTGATGTCGGTGCTGCAGTGCAATATAGTCGGCCAGATGCTATCGATTCTGGAGGGTTTGGTGCCGGTTAAGAAGGAGGAAGAGCAGGCCGTTAGTATGTCGAGTAAAGAAACTACCGACGGTAAGTCAGTTAGGAGAGTGTGGGCCTCGTGTTTTCTAACAACAAACTGCATGCGTTTTTATGTGAGTAAATTCGTTTTATATTTCGTCAAACCTTTTGATGAAGTGCTGAGTGTTAGTTTCGACTCGGTGTGTGGTTCATGTTATGTACGTAGATACAAGGCGCACAGTACAAACTATGCATGAGCAAAGATACATATCCAATACTTTTGTATGACATTAAGTTTTGTAAAAAAAAAAAAAAAACATATTGCAGCAGCAAGACCGGATAGAGACAAAATCTTAAGAAAAAGGAATGATGTACTCGTAAAAGAGCAGCGTCGCAACTCCGCTAACAGCGGAGATGGCGGTAAGGCNTGTTAGTTTCGACTCGGTGTGTGGTTCATGTTATGTACGTAGATACAAGGTGCACAATACAAACTATGCATGAGCAAAGATACATATCCAATACTTTTGTATGACATTAAGTTTTGTAAAAAAAAAATAAACATATTGCAGCAGCAAGACTGGATAGAGACAAAATCTTAAGAAAAAGGAATGATGTACTCGTAAAAGAGCAGCGTCGCAACTCCGCTAACAGCGGAGATGGCGGTAAGGAATCTCAAAGCAATCACATACTCCACTAACATATCTTTAAGCAGAAACACACACACACTTGCACTTACTCACTTTAGGAAACCTGACAGTCCACACTTTTGTCACCCACCACATCTTTTCTCTCGTATGCCTGCAATTTCCTGTTCTACCTACAAGTCGGTCAACAATCAGTTTCGTTAGTGTTTTCACGTGTGTCCAGTGTGCTGTCAAAACTTTGAAAATGTTTCGCAAGATTTCTTCAGCACCTGGAACTAAAAACATGACGTTTAAATAAACACTCTCACCAAAACTCTCAGGTATCCTTTTGAACACTTTAAAACACTTTGTATGTACTCCCTCCACGATCTTCAAATCTATAGTGAGCCCGTTATGTTCAGTTTGTGTACCTGTTTTGCATAAGTTTTGTTGCGCCAGTGTGTATGTATGCATTTGGGTGTGGTAATTTGTTTTGTTGTTTTACTAAAATACCAAATAATACTTACTTCTATGTATTTAGCAAAGTACTTGCGGCGCGCCGCTTTCTTTCACTTGGTCCAACTAACCGTTTTACTATCTAACTATTTGCTTGCTCAGTACATTGCTAAAGTGTCTGCTGAAAGGCTTCCATTTTCACTATTTATATACATTTTCAACTTGCACAGATGAGCTCCCCGAGGAGCCAGTTGTTGAGCAGAAAGAAGATACTTGCACACCCGAGCACCTGCAGNAAACATATTGCAGCAGCAAGACTGGATAGAGACAAAATCTTAAGAAAAAGGAATGATGTACTCGTAAAAGAGCAGCGTCGCAACTCCGCTAACAGCGGAGATGGCGGTAAGGAATCTCAAAGCAATCACATACTCCACTAACATATCTTTAAGCAGAAACACACACACACTTGCACTTACTCACTTTAGGAAACCTGACAGTCCACACTTTTGTCACCCACCACATCTTTTCTCTCGTATGCCTGCAATTTCCTGTTCTACCTACAAGTCGGTCGACAATCAATTTCGTCAGTGTTTTCACGTGTGTCCAGTGTGCTGTCAAAACTTTAAAATCGCTTTTCGCAAGATTTCTTCAGCACCTGGAACTAAAAACATGACGTTTAAATAAACACTCTCACCAAAACTCTCAGGTATCCTTTTGAACTAAAACACTTTGTATGTACTCCCTCCACGATCTTCAAATCTATAGTGAGCCCGTTATGTTCAATTTTGTACCTGTTTTGCATAAGTTTTGTTGCGCCAGTGTGTATGTATGCATTTGGGTGTGGTAATTTGTTTTGTTGTTTTACTAAAATACCAAATAATACTTACTTCTATGTATTTAGCAAAGTACTTGCGGCGCGCCGCTTTCTTTCTCTTGGTCCAACTAACCGTTTTACTATCTAACTATTTGCTTGCTCAGTACATTGCCAAAGTGTCTGCTGAAAGGCTTCCATTTTCACTATTTATATACATTTTCAACTTGCACAGATGAGCTTCCCGAGGAGCCAGTTGTTGAGGAGAAAGAAGATACTTGCACACCCGAGCACCTGCAGCGTTTATATATCTTCGCGTTGGCTTGGGGCCTCGGTGGATATCTCAGCGCCGCCGATCGCAAACGGCTAGACCTATACGTCAAAGAAGCCTTCCCTCAGCTGGACTACGCGCAGGGCACGCCCAATGAAAATAGTATTTTTGATTTCTTCGTTTCCGAAACGGGCACCTGGCAGGCATGGAAGACACTGGTCACTCCTTATATGTATCCTGAACTATCTACGCCGGATTTCCTGAATATACTGGTGCCTATTGTTGACAATGTACGCATGGATTACCTAATTGCTACCATAGCCAATCAGGAACGTGCCGTTATGTTGATCGGCGAACAGGGTACCGGCAAAACTGTAATAATGAAGAATTTTATGAGGAAGATGAACCCCGAGTCGTACATGGGGCGTTCCTTTAATTTTTCTTCCGCTACGAGCCCCTACCAATTTCAGCGCACAATTGAGAGCTATGTGGAGAAACGAGTGGGCGTTACTTTTGGTCCACCGGGCGGTCGTAAGTTGATCGTGTTTATCGATGATGTCAACCTGCCGGAGATCAATGAGTGGGGCGATCAAGTGACGAACGAGATCGTGCGCCAGACCATGGACATGAAAGGCTTTTACAGCTTGGAGAAGCCGGGCGACTTTACAACAGTTGTGGACGTCCAGTATGTTGCGGCGATGGGTCTGCCCGGCGGAGGGCGTAATGATATACCTTCGCGCTTGAAACGGCAGTTTTGTGTTTTTAATTGCAATATTCCCGATGACGAATCAATTGACAAAATATTCCGCGTGATTGGTGAAGGTCATTACAATGCCAAGCGTGGGTTTGCTCCAGAGGTGCGCAGTTTAGTGAAGAAACTGATTGTTGTGACTCGCCACTTGTGGCAGTGTACGCGCGAAAAGCTGTTGCCCACACCCGCGAAATTCCATTATGTTTTCAGTTTGCGCGACCTTTCGCGTATCTGGCAAGGCATGGTGGGCACTTTGTCCACTGTTATAACGGCGGATAGTGTGCTCATGTCGTTGTGGAAGCACGAATGCACACGCGTGTTTGCGGACCGTTTTACGACGTTTCAGGATAAGGAGTGGTTCAGTTCGGAGTTGGCTTGTCTGGTGCGTGAGGAGCTTGGCGATTCCTATTCCCAGATGATTATACCGAACCCGGTGTTTGTCGATTTCATGCGCGATGCACCTGAGCCGACGGGAGAGGAGGGAGAAGATGCTGATATGGAGTTGCCGAAGGTCTACGAACCGGTGAATTCTCATGAAGTGCTCCGGGAGCGTCTCGTTATGTTCCTCGCACAATTCAATGAAATGGTACGAGGCTCTGGGATGGATCTGGTCTTCTTCCCAGATGCAATGTTGCATTTGGTGAAGATTTCTCGAATCATTCGGCATCCGAGGGGAAATGTCATGCTTGTCGGGGTCGGTGGATCGGGTAAACAATCATTGACAAAATTGGCATCATTCATAGCTGGCTACAAGACATTCCAAATTGCTTTGACGCGTTCGTACAATGTGGCCAACTTCTTGGAGGACTTGAAATTGTTATATCGCACCTGTGGTGTCCAAGGCAAAGGCACAACGTTCCTCTTCACCGACATGGACATTAAAGAAGAGGGCTTCCTTGAATATCTGAATAATATATTGTCATCGGGTGTGATATCAAACCTATTCTCGCGAGACGAACAGGCCGAAATCGTACAAGAATTAACTCCGGTAATGAAACGAGAGAATCAGCGAAAAACAGCGACCCCGGAAAGTGTGATGGAGTTTTTCTTGGCCCGCACTTGCGCCAACCTGCATGTTGCTTTTTGTTTCTCGCCGGTCGGTGAGACTTTCCGATCGAGGGTGCAACGTTTTCCGGCACTAGTGTCCGGCTGCACTATCGATTGGTTCCAGCCGTGGCCAAAGGATGCACTCGTCTCGGTGGCAAGACACTTTCTGAGTGACTTTGAAATTGAGTGTACACCGGCCGTGAAGGAAGAGTTGGTGAACGCGCTCGGCTCAATACAAGACATAGTGGCCGAGACATCGTTGGAGTATTTTCAACGTTTTAGACGGGCTACGCACGTAACACCGAAGTCCTATTTGAATTTCATTGCTGGCTACAAAAATATCTACCAGCAAAAGCAGAAAGAGTTGAGTGACGGCGTGGAAAAGATGGACACCGGGTTGGAGAAGTTAAAAGAAGCATCTGCCTCCGTAGAAATACTGAAAAAGGACTTGGTCGTTATGGAGGAGGAGCTAGTGGAGGCCTCGAAGAACGCCGAATCAGTATTGGTGGAAGTAACCGAAAGAGCAATGCAGGCGGAAATTGTAAAAAATCAAGTTTTGATTGTGAAAGACAAAGCTGAGGCGTTAGTAGCCTGTATTGCACACGAAAAGGCACTTGCTGAGGAAAAGTTGGAGGCAGCCAAGCCGGCGCTGGAAGAGGCCGAAATGGCGCTAAATACCATCAAGCCAGCGCATATTGCAACGGTGCGCAAGTTGGGCCGACCACCACATCTGATTATGCGAATTATGGATTGCGTTTTGATTTTATTCAAACGAAAGTTACATCCCTGCATACCTGATTCTGGAACACCTTGTCCGAAGCCATCCTGGCAGGAATCGTTAAAGGTAAATGCCCATAGAGTTGTAGTAATCCGACATTGATATGCTCACTATGTTTCAGATGATGGCAAGCGCCACGTTTTTGCTACAACTACAAAACTATCCGAAGGACACAATAAACGATGAAATGATCGACCTGTTGCAACCATACTTTCGCATGGAAGACTACAACATGGACATGGCGAGACGTGTATGTGGCGACGTAGCTGGATTGTTGTCCTGGACAAAAGCTATGGGCTTCTTCCACAGCGTGAATAAGGAAGTATTGCCACTGAAGGCCAATCTGACAATGCAGGAGGCGCGCTTGAAGGTAAAAATGCGGCTGCTCAGAGCTCTCGCAGTAGTTTACCGCAATCGCTTTAGAGTAGTGCACAATCAAAGGTAATATGAGAAATCCGATAACTGCTCAGTTATCCAGCCGCAGTCACGGTGTGAAATGTTTTAATTTTTATTTTAACATTTAAGTAATTATTTTATTTCACTTTAGAGTTAGCAACGTTTCATATACAGCCAAAGCTTTTTAGCCGAGTAGAATTGCTTTGTGTCCGGGCGAGAATTTCTAATTAGCTAACTCATTCATATGCATATTCATGTACCTTTCTTCCTTCTGCACCGCAACATGCAGCTAGCCATGGATGATCTAGCTGGCGCTGAAGAGCAATTGCGTGAGCGTGAGGAGGCACTACAGGCTGTCAAAGACCAATATGACAAGGCCGTCGGTGAAAAACAACGACTCACCGATGCCGCCAACGTATGTTTGCGGAAAATGACTGCAGCCACAGCTCTAATAAATGGACTCTCGGATGAAAAGCATCGCTGGACCAATCAGAGCAAAGAGTTTAAGATACAGCTGGGCAAATTAGTTGGAGATGTTTTATTGGCGACAGGCTTTCTATCGTACTGCGGCCCCTATAATCAGGAATTCCGTGCGAATTTGATAAAAACCTGGATGGGAATTCTAAAGCACAAAAATATACCATTCACGACAGGCTTGAACATCATCAATATGCTTGTCGATTCGTCCACGGTGTCGGAGTGGACATTGCAGGGCCTGCCAAATGACGAATTGTCGGTGCAGAATGCCTTGATTGCCACCAAATCGAGCAGCTATCCTCTGCTGGTGGATCCTCAGACACAGGGCAAACTGTGGATTAAGTCCAAGGAAGGCGACAATGAACTGCAGATCACATCCTTAAATCATAAATATTTCCGAACACATTTAGAAGACTCACTGTCGCTTGGACGACCGTTGCTGATTGAGGACGTCGGCACCGAGCTGGATCCAGTGCTCGACAATGTGTTGGAGAAGAACTTCATCAAGTCGGGTAGTATAGAGAAGGTCTTGGTGGGCGACAAGGAGTGCGATGTAATGCCGGGATTTATGCTATACATAACCACTAAATTACCAAACCCGGCCTTTAGTCCGGAGATCAGCGCCAAAACGTCTATTATTGATTTTACCGTGACAATGCGGGGTCTTGAAGATCAACTATTAGGACGAGTAATTCTCATGGAGAAGTCAGATTTGGAGGCAGAGCGTGTGGCACTTTTCGAAACAGTCATGACAAACCAACGCAAAATGAAGGAATTAGAGGCGAATCTATTATATCGCCTAAGTTCCTCACAGGGCTCGTTGGTTGACGATGAGGCCCTCATTGAGGTACTGCGTGTGACGAAAACGACGTCTGAAGAGGTCAATCAGAAGTTAAAGATTTCCGAAGTGACAGAGCGTAAGATAATGAAGGCACGCGAGGAGTTCCGCGCAGTGGCCGCACGTGGTTCTGTGCTTTATTTCTTGATTGTCGAAATGAGTAACGTGAACGTTATGTATCAGAATTCACTGAAACAATTTCTGGTAATCTTCAATAACTCCATTACAAAGTCAACCAAATCAAACGTGACCGAGGAGCGCATACTAATAATTCTGCGTTATCTGACCTATGAGGTCTACAAGTTCACCAATCGGAGCTTATATGAGCGGCACAAGCAGCTGTTCACTCTGATGCTGGCCATAAAAATAGACTACCATAACGGTAATGTGACACACGAGGAGTTCATGTCATTTGTCAAGGGCGGTGCTTCACTGGATTTGAATGCTGTAACTCCGAAACCGTTTCGCTGGATCTTAGACATCACCTGGCTGAATTTGGTGGAAATCAGCAAATTGGAAACATTCTCAAATGTCTTGTCACTGGTGAGTCGTATAAGCTCCGCAATGCATAGATCGTAGATACATTCTGAAATTTGTACAGATCGAAGCAAATGAAAAGGACTGGCGCTTTTGGTACGAAGCCGAAAAACCGGAAAACGAGGAAATACCATGTGGCTATCAGGAATCTCTGGACGGCTTCCGAAAGCTGTTGCTAGTGCGTTCATGGTGTCCGGACCGTACAATTGCACAGGCTAAGAAGTACATAGAGGGTATGTGTGTATGTATGGATGTAACCGTGCACATACTATAGGGTGCATCACCAAAAAAAGGTTGCGGTTTTTCTACCGGAACTATAAAATTTATTATATCTATGTTAAAACTGCCGGCGAAATATTTCAGAAAAATATTAAGATTTACGTGAGCTATACCGTTTTGAAAGTAGCTCAAAAACTCATTGTTTTGATTCCGTTGATACAATTTTTAAACATTTTATGCAGACGTTTTAAGCTTGAACTCGTATATTATCTGAGTTGATTATTAAAAAAAAAAAAAAATTTAAAGTAGTTTTAACCATGTAAAACTCAAAACTTAAAATGGGTCCAGCTGACGTAAGTCGTAATATTTTTCCCCAACATTTTGGCGGAAGTCTTTAAATATATAAAATGGTATATTTCCAATGGAAAAACAGTACTGAAATTTTTATCGTATGAAGAGTGATGCACTCTAATATACAAGTATAGTACCTGTGTAACGTACAATGCACGCGAATCTATCTATATATGTATGTTATATTAATTAAGATTGTTTTTCTGAAATTTAATCCTTGCAGAATCTCTAGGCCCGGAATACAGCGAGATGCAGATATTGGACCTCGAAGTTACTTGGGGAGAATCAGAGCCCCGCACGCCATTCGTTTGCCTTCTATCAATTGGTTCAGACCCCACCACACAAATCGCAGCTCTGGCTAAGCAAAAGGGCATACGTAAGCGCACAACAGTTTCATTACATTGAACTCACTTTCACACTGCCACACACACACACACACATAACACTCACTCTCAGCCACATGAGCGCAAAAAATACTAACGTAAAGGATATTCTCATTTTTGGCTGCTTTAGCTTTGAAATCGGTATCCATGGGCCAGGGCCAGGAATGCCATGCACGCAAAATGATAATGGACTCAATGTCCGGCGGTGGCTGGGTGTTGTTGCAGAATGTTCATCTCTCATTGCCGTTCTGTTCGGAGGTCATTGATATGCTGGTGGAGACGGAACACATCGACGATACGTTCCGCATGTGGGTGACCACTGAACCACATGCAGATTTTCCAATAGGCTTACTCCAAATGGCCATTAAATTCACCAATGAGCCGCCGCAGGGCATACGCGCCAGTCTAAAGCGCAGCTACCAGGTGAGCTGTATTCGTTGTTTGCATGTCTTTAATTGCTGACGATGTATTGTTTTGCTTTGCCGCCGCCCACAGGCTTTCACGCAAGACTTCCTCGACTACACCGCCGCGTCGCAATGGCCACCACTGCTGTACACAGTGGCATTTCTGCACACCATCGTGCAGGAGCGTAGGAAGTTCGGGCCGCTGGGTTGGAACATACCGTATGAGTTTAATCAGGCGGACTTTGCGGCGAGCGTGCAATTCATACAGAATCACTTGGACGAAATGGATCCGAAGAAGGGAGTCTCATGGCAGACGCTGGTCTACATGATTGGAGAGGTGCAGTACGGTGGTCGCGTGACTGATGATTTTGATAAGAGACTGCTGACCACATTCACGGCGGTGTGGTTTTGTGAGGGACTCTTGAGCAACTCATTCGAATTCCACAAAGGATACAAAGTGCCGAATACGAAGAGTTTGCAAGGCTTTGTCGACTACATAAACAGTTTGCCAGCTTATGACACGCCAGAAGTTTTCGGCTTGCATTCCAATGCTGACATCACGTATCAAATTAATTCGGCTAAAGGTAAATGCCTTCTTTTATTGATGCCAGCACAATTGCATAAGACTGTGAGATGAGTTGGTTATGAGAGGATAAAGGACACAGGTGGGCTCATTCGTTAGGACATATGTGCATATGTGCATATTTGTTGGTATTTATGTGAGTTAAGATGTGCGCTTTGGTTTATTTAGTGTTAATTGAAATGTGAAGAATTGCTGAGTTAACTAAAATAATATTCGTTGCGTGGAAGAGTAATAAAGTAGAAGTAGAAGAAGAAGAAGAAAACAATGTCTCAACTCATCCATTCATAAATGTGCTAAACATTTTATACTCAAACTATGTTTGTATGTATTTGAAATATATCAGCGAACATCCAATGAATTAACCTATTTAACCTATTGTAACAATATGAAACTTAGCTGTGTACTTACATATACATATACATATATATGTAGCTATTTATATGCCTGCTTCAAACCCAAACCCCGACCTTTATTTGTCTGTAAATATTTTTCGTTACGGCAAAAAATTAATAATTTTCCACTCACGCAAAGGTATTTTGGACACTATATTGAGCGTACAACCGAAGGAGGGTGGTGGTGGTGGTGGAGAGTCACGCGAAAGCATCGTCTATCAGCTGGCGGACGACATGCTGCGCAAGCTTCCGTCACAGTATAATGCTTACGAGGTGCGTGAGAACCTGATGCGCATGGGAATTCTCCTGCCGATGAACATCTTTCTCAGGTAATTGCCACATTTCACACCTGAAGCCTGTTGCTGGATTACTCTTCCATTTTTTGTATATTAATAATTACCTATTGAATATCATTTGTTGTTGTGGAGAATCGGTATTCTCCGACTTTTTCGTTTTTTTTAAATTTATTTTTTTAAATTAACCAATCTGCAGGCAAGAGATTGATCGCATGCAGAAAGTGATTAAGAAGGTGTACACATGCTTGTGCGACTTGAAATTGGCAATTGATGGCACCATTGTGATGAGTCCAGCATTGAAGGAGTCCTTGGATGCCATGTATGATGCACGCATACCGGAGTCGTGGATGAAGGTTGGTACATACGTATGTATATATGTACATTCAAACGAATCTAGTAAAAGGTATTTATATACTCTGTCTAGTAGGGAGAGGGCATGGCTGGGCATGAATGAACGCGTAGGCGATAATGAATTTACGTCAAAAGTGCGAAAGTTCTTTATTGAAGTACGATGTGTGATTTTGCGTGTGATGTCTGAGCCAGAGCTTAGGTTGCACTTCATCAGCTTACTTAGGCGAATGTCGGAAGATGTTTGTAGGGCACATACTATATACATTCTATTTACATACATACATACATACATATGTATGTAAGCATTTCTATAAATTTTTTCGTATTTTTTGTGCATTCTCAAATGCGATATAGCAGAAAGTAGTGATAATTCCTTCGAAGCCAACTGCGTCAGACAAGTCCTTACGCAGTTAGTTGAAGTACAAAAGTGATTTTTATTTGACTGTCAAATGCATTCGGCGCTCGACAAATTCACATGAATATACATACTCGTATGTTTAATGTCGATACGAACATATCTATATGTACATTGGAGTGGTTAAAAAAATCGCTCTTTTTGAAAATTCATAAACGCAACATCAAAATATTGTTATTTGTGGTAAAAAAAAGAGAAATTACATATCTGTCTTGGATAGTTAAAATGAGCCTAGTGCCCGAAAATATGTTTCGAAAAGAGACTACTAAAATCACAACGTTAATACGGAACGTTTTAAGTATTGTCATGGGTTAAAACTCGTTACCAGGGGATTTCTGGGATCTCTGATTATGCATATGATGTCAGTTTTTCAAAATCCAAAATGGCGGATCCAATATGGCGATCAACTTAAAAAAATGATTGCATTGGTTTGAAACTCACATTCGTAATTAGAAACCCAATGGTAATGAGTTTCGACCCATGACAATGCTTAAAACGTTCAGTATCAACGTTTCAATTCGAGTAGCTTTTTTATAAGAATTTGATAGACATATTGGATCTGCCATTTTGAATTTTAAAAATTGATTTGAGATTCGTCATCAGCGATCCCAAAAAATCCCGAGTGCCAAGCTTCGATCAAATCCAAACATAAAAAAATGTATCGCCATTTTGGATTCGCCATTTTGAATTTTGAATAACTCACTTCAGATTTCTAATTAGAAACCCCAAAAACCCTCTGATAACAAGTTCCAACCCATGAAAATGCGTAAATCGTTCAGTAACAACGTATTAATTTTGGTAGTCTCCTTTCGAAAGCATATTTTCGGACACTTGCCTCATTCTAACTGTCCAAGACAGGTATGTATGTATTTAAGAGAATGTTCCCCAATAATACCAGAGTGATTATATGTTAAAACAACATTTTTAGCTGCAAGCCAGGAAAGTAAAAAAATTGGGAACATCAGCGTTTTTATAAAAACCGACCAGCGCGACCTCTAAAAAAGGTTTTTTTTTTTTAAATAAAAAAATACGTTCCTCTTTTTTTATCCCAAATCTCAATAATTTGAAGTAGCGTTAATGAATTAAAAAAATTTTTTTTTGAACCACTCTAATGTACATGCGTTGGAGTGTATGTATATGTGTACATACGGAGTGATATAAAAGGTTAGCAAAATTTCAGCTAGCAATGCATTCGTAGTTTTTTTTTGTTTTTTTTTTACAGATGGATGGGATTTAATGCAAAAAACGAAGCTCAGTACATTTATTTTTAGTATAGATGTTAATATAGAAAAATTAGTTATATGTATTTTGGAATGTTAGTGTGATTTTTTTTTAATTTTTTTAATAATCCTTATTTCATCTTAAATTAAAATGATTACCTTGTCGTTTAAGATATGTTAAAAATTTGTATTCCAACATTAAGCATTTACTTATGGAAATTATAATTCACAGATATCCTGGGAATCTACAACTCTGGGCTTTTGGTACACTGAGCTACTCGAACGAAATGCACAATTCCGAACTTGGATATCTACGGACCGACCCAAGGTTAGTTAGTGCTTATTGAAGCTATAAAAAACGCAAATAATCTCATAAAATTATATGTAAGTTAAAAGGAAAAATTTTGAAAAATTACCTTTATTTGGAATACCCCTTTAAAACTATAAATCGAGGGCTTATATTCAATACTCTCTTCAGCAATTTTCACAAAATGACCTATTGTTTAGGCGCGACTACTAACATCAAGCGCCCTAATGCATGCCTACCCAACATTTTTGGATCAAATCAACATATTTTTTTTATATATAAACACATACCAAGATCCTTGTCTATCCTCTCACTGAGTTATTCACTTATAAATAGCTTGTTAGTAGAATTCGCTGTTGGATTGCAAAGTTAGAAATACCATCGGTGATGGCAGTTTTTGTGAAAATCGCTTATAGATGGTATTGAATGTCAGCCCTCGATATGTTATACTAAGGGAGTTCACGATAGACCGGCCGAGGCGTCTATAGTTCGAAAGTAAATCTACAATAGGTAAACGGTAAAAAAAAAACGTCAACAATATAATGAAAAAATGCAAATTTGCAAATGCAAATGCCAAGAATTTCGTTTAAAAAATATTTCACAACGATAATAAAAGTTTTATAAGGCATAAAATGTGTTAAAAAATGTCGTCTCAAAATCGTAAATTCGAGATTTTCTAGTCAGAGGGCCAATTCCTGTTCTGTGAAAACGTGAAGTGAAAAAATTGTTCATCACTTTACATAAAATTACGATTCTATTTTCAAATGTAAATTAATTAATTTGTCTGTGAAAACTTTTTTTCACAAAGTTTTGTGGCTGTGAAAAAGAAATGTTGGGCGTCTTTCTCAAAACTATCCTCTTGTTATGAGGATTATGATTGTCATAAACTCACAATAATTTATTAAATAAGTACTTGTTAGATGATGATGGAATAGCTTTTAATGATCAAAAATCGCTTAAAATGATATAGCGAAACGATAAAGTAAAAAAAATTAAATTTTCACTGACCTTGAATTTTTCATTTTCACGTCACTGTTTCATAGAACCAGAATGGGCCCCAGGTTTTATTTTTTTTTTTAAGAAATGGTAGTTGACTTTTAGGTGTTTACCTCCCTAAAAGCTCTAGCGATGTGTATCCTATCGAGGCGTAGCTTGTTTTTTTTATGAATTGGAAGCAAACTGAAGGGCAGTTAAATGTTTCAACATCTGTAAAAAGTCCATTGTTAGAGCCACCCTAATGAAAAATATACGAGTATTAAAGTCTCGTTCATTAGTTATTATCGAGAAATCATTAATTGTTTTGTGACGTCATATCTTTTCTCCTCTTCCCGCCGTTTAATACGTGGATGATGCAATTGCTGCGCTCGCCGTTGGATGACTGCCGGCGCTATCTGCCCGCGGCCTTTGCCACCACCGCTCTCTATCTGGCTGAATACACACGAATTCAATTTGCGCATTAACGAAATGTGAATATGTTTCGAAAGGTCTTTTGGATGACGGGATTCTTTAATCCCCAAGGATTTTTAACTGCTATGCGTCAAGTAAGTCTCTCGGCGCGCCCTTCAACGATATAATATAATTTAAATGTATATGTGGGTGTATGTTGTGATTTTAGCGATTCGCTCTCACCGCAATTTGATTCAAAAACAGCTATGTGAGAGGGTGTGGGTGTGAATTGAGTTGCAGATTGCTGGGCTTATTAAAATTGGCCAAGAATGTCTTATTCAGCTTTAATATTTCGAGTTGAGCAGATTGGAAAGAATACAATGAGTTTTTGTAAATTTGAACATATTTACATACATATGTATGTACATATGTATATAGTTTTTGTTCAGATGTAGAATTCCTTTTGACCAAAGATAATCAAAACTGGTAATAATTTCGCTGTGTAAACTTCCACTTAAGTTTATGTAATCTAACTCAAACAACTTCTTACCAATTAATTTTCAAAGTAGGAAGTGGTTTCTGTTATTATTATTGTGGTTGGTTATTTTCTCTTATTTTTATTTCTATTTGACAACAACTTTTAACAGGAAAACTTTTTTTTTTGTATTTATGTACGAATATAATATCCATTCCATCCGTTGTGATGTTTGTGGTAAAATGAAAGAATGGGAATGCGTTCAGAAAGCATACATTCAGAATATATAATTCAAATACTATAGGCCATGACGCGCATAATAAGGATATTTGCTACATTTTCATAATATTTGTGAGTTTCATAGCCTGTGCATACTTCTGTTGCTACAATATTTTCTGCAGTGGGAGATGCGAGAGAAGCGAAACTAAATACAATAGCTGAATTTTTGCGCTTTTGAAATAATAAAAGTTTGAATGTGGGCTCTCAGGTGATGTGGAAAAGAAAGGAAACCTGACGTTGCTGGTGGTAGCATCGATGAAGACGCCCTCGGCGCGTTCATGGCCGCGTTGCACTGTGATCCCGCATGGGTAAAATTAGTATAAAATAAGTATTGAAACGAACTTGTCTAAACATCAATCATGTGAATAATCAACTCATTATTTTTAAAGATATTTGAATTTTTCATATAAGGTTAAATTGCAAATACCTTATCGAGCGTCGCACAATGGAAGAGCTACATTTAACATGTGGCAAAAAGTAGTAAATGTGGTCTGAAAATTGTTACGTGGAATACTTTTGCCTAGGAATGAATAAATTGAAAAATGGTTGAATTTAGTGGACTGCCACGCCCACCACACTAACCTAGAAGCATATAAATCTGAAAGATGGAAAAAATCGGTCAAGTTTAATGCCCACCAGTCATCCGAAATCTGGATTCTAATGTGGCAAAGACACTTTGGTGCAAGATCTATTTTTAAGATATATAACAAATTGCATGGATTGGTGACCAGCCACGCCCCCT